TGGAATCCCACAAATCTATGCTCGAGGAAACTTCCCCAAACATAGATTAGCTTATTTGCGCATGGAATCCCGCGAATCTATGTTCTAGGAAAATTCCCCAAACATATATTAGCAACTACGACTTATTTTCTAGGTAGGGCTTATATTAGGAGCATCCCCCGAAAATAAGCTACAGCTTACTTTTGTGGGATGTCTTATTTAGGTAGTAGCATTTACTCAAGACATAAGGTTTACTCTCTTCATTCTCTTCACTTTATCTAGGGATATACCCCACTAATTTCTAATTAGTGGGGTAAAAGCTACTTGATCCATGGAGACATCTGACTGCTATTTGGGGTCAAGAAGGAATTGACCCCAGTTGCAAAATTGGAAGAGCTTCAGACCAGGTTTTTTGCCTTCTTTTCGATCAACAGCAAAAACATATGTGAGGAAGGCTGAACTTGTTGGACGCAAGTCTCTTTTCAGCTATGTAACTATGTAACTATATAATCCAGCCAGTGAAGAAAGTACAAAACTGCAATATTCTGTGTTTTAGTGTTACAAGGGATAATACTCGCAGGGTCACACACTTTGATTAAAAACAGGTCTTGACTGGTTATCAGGATATAGGCCTTCAAATGTGCCGGCTAAAGGCATCCCACCAGTTTTGCTTTTAACAGAGCTGTATGGGTTTGCTCTGAATTCAACAGCAATCTATTAATCAGAGCTGCGGGGAATTGCGGGGAGGAAAGGATTGTGTACATTTTACTATCCATTAAATAAATGAAACATTTTATTATACAATGTACTCAGTCAAAAAGTACATCCCTCTGGCTTTCAGATTTTAACTGGCACAAAAATGAGATCGAAAGCATATTCACTTTCATAAACCCCAGGGCAATGTTAAATCTGTGGGAATATGTTCTGAATAAAAGTATTAAATAAATTATGGGTGCCAAAATGCCCTCAAAACCACCTGTCTGTACACACTTGTCTGGAACCCAAATCTAACACAACCATAATGCATGGTTACTTTTAAATTAAATTACAATAACCTTTATAGAAGTGGAATATTTGTATATTATTATTATTATTTATAAAGTGCGAACAACAACCGTAGCGCTATATTATATAGAAGTATCCAGTGGCGGATCCAGAGCCTGATCTCGGGAGGGGCACTTGTAGATTATTTAAAGAAATAATCCAGACACAATAACTACTACAGCTCAGTGTAGTGGTTATGGTGTCAATAGTGCCGGGACCCCCTCCTAGAGTAAGTAGTCAAACCGTTTAAGAACAGTTTGACAACTTACCTGAGGTCTGCTGGGAAATGGGGCGGTAGTAGGGCATAGGAGCAGTGGTGTGTGTGAGTGGTGCAATGTGTAAGGGGTGCAGTGTGTGTGTGTGTGTGAGGGGGACAGTGTGTGAGCAGTGTGTGTGTGTGAAGGTTGTAGTGTGTGAGTAGGGGGGGCAGTGTATGTCAGGGATGCAGTGTATGTGTGGGACAGTATGTGTGTGTAACAGTTGCAGTGTGTGTGTGAATGTGGGCAATGTGTGTGTATGGGGCGGCAGTGTATGGGGGCAGTGTGTGTGTATGCGGGGCAGTATGTGTGTATGAGGGCAGTATGTGTATGGGGGGGCAGTATGTGTGTATGGGGGGGCAGTATGTGTGTATGGGGGGGCATGGGGCAGTATGTGTATAAAGGCATGGGGGCAGTATGTGTGTATGGGGGCAGCATGGGGGGCAGCATGTGTGTATGGCATGGGGCAGCATGTGTGCATGGGGGGGCAGCATGGGGGGGCAGTATGTGTATGGGGCAGTATAGGTGTGTATGGGGGCAGCATGGGGCAGTATGGGGGGGGGCAGCATGGGGGGCAGTATGTGTGTATGGGGCAGCATGGGGCAGTATGTGTATGGGGGCAGTATGTGTATGGGGGGGGCAGTATATGTGTATGGGGGGGCAGTATATGGGGCATGTGTGTATGGGGGGCAGCATGGGGCAGTATGTGTGTATGTAAATGTTATTGTATAGGGCAGTATGTGTATGGGGGGGCAGTATGTGTGTATGGGGGGGCAGCATGGGGGGCAGTATGTTTGTATGGGGGGGCAGCATGGGGGCTATGTGTGTGTGTGTGTTAAGGGTAGGGGGGGGCTTTTTAAAATAATATATATCTTTATTTAATTAAAAAAAGCAAATATTCTATGTCCCCCCTCCCTTCTTACCTTTATGGAGGAGGAGGGGGGACATATTTTCATCCCTGGTGGTCCCAGTGGTGATTCCCTGGTGGTCCCAGTGGTGATTCCCTGGTGGTCCCAGTGGTTACAGTGAACTCTAGCCCGCGCTCCCGGGCTAGAGTTCACTCTCGCGAGATTTGGAGCGTTGCCGTGGTAACCGCGGCAACGCTCCAAATCTCGCGAGAGGAGGACCCGGAGGAGCTGCAGACTGAGCTCCCGGGTCCTCCCTCTCCCTCCCCTGCCGGCTCTCAGCACAGTGCCTGCGGACCGGGGAGGGAGAGCTCTGATCTCCCCTCCGGTCCGCAGGCACATTGCAGGGCTGGCAGGGGAGGGAGACCGGCGGATTTCTCGGGGGGGGCAATTGCCCCGTTGCCCCCCCCCTGGATCCGCCAGTGGAAGTATCATGTATATAACAAGTACCGGTAATCCTTTTTGTGCATGTAAATAAAATGCTACGCTTTCTATTTTTTTTTCATTGAACTGAATATTTGTCATGGCAAACTGTACAAAAAAAACAATAAAGGGCACAGCAGTGACATGGTGAGTTACAAGTGTCCCAACTAATAATAATTCAACTTATTCAACCAGTATCAACACACAAAGAAGGGTCAGTAACACAACAAACAACGACTATACAGTTCACAGGTATGAAATATTTCAAATTGTGCACCACAGTTGTTACTGCTATCAAACTTTTCAATAATTCAATATTCTTTTACGTATTGAACGACCACAAACATCATCTCAATAAAGTGGTCTGGGTGCCTAGTCCTGCCCTTTTAATCCTAAAATAACACAATTTAAGTTTTGTAGAACATGCACTGCTTGTATTACAGGGTTATTATTATTATTTTTGGCATTTATATAACGCCAACTTATTCTGCAGTGATTTACAGTATTATAAGAGGCAAATTAAACATAATTTAAATAAATTAGATTATTACAAAATGTTACAGGAGCAATAGGTTGCTAAAGACCCTGCTCAAACGAGTTTTTTAAGTCCTCCTCTAGTAGTTGTCTTCCTGACAGCCACTTCGGGTGCTACCACAAATATTCAGCCATGTGATGCAGAAGCCCCCCATAGGAAAGCATTGATTTAATTCTTTGCTATGGGAAGCTTGGATGTGGACGTGGTGTTCACTGCGTCTGTGTAACAGGTCCCCAGAATCCTCAGGTCTATGAGGAGCATTGGACGGGACCATCGTAAAGGAGGCCAAGCCTTCTCTGTGATGTTGTAACTTGAAACCAGCACCAAGGGGGCTTGAAAAGGGTCAGCAAATACCTTTATTGTGTTAAAATGTATTCATATAAGGAAGGAGGGCTTCAAAAACTAGGAACATTAAAGTTCTAGGAATACAGATTTGTATTCTTAACAAGTTAGTGTTGCTTAAAACATACCTTCTAATCTCTTCTTTTCTGCTCTAAGAATTACCCACTCACGGCAGGTCTTCTTCAAAGTATTTTCACATAAGCCAATGGTTGGGTAGGAATTGTTTATAAAGACCGAGAGGGTTTATTTACAAAAGTGTAAATTGTTTGGGAACTCAAAGTGGATTTGAAGTGGATTTTACATTTTAGGTGAAAATAGTCCATTTTGAATACTCTAAAAATTAGCTTTACTTCCAGTTCAGCTATTTTGAACTAAAATATGGAATTCACAATAATTTGCAATTTAGTGAATGCAGTTGAGGGTGTTCTGCTATTTAAGGCAATATAATGTAATGACAATAAGATATGTAGTTTGTCATATCAAAACTAGAAAGACTTTTTCAAAGTGCTAGCAATCTAGATCCAGCAATGTTGATCTAAGAACATTGTATAATTATGATTCCATCATTTTCTTGTAATCTAGAGTATGTGTCTGGACAGATGATTAAGTTCACATTTGTTTTCCTTCTGA